ACCTATTTACTAATGAGTACTTTACATTTAAATTAAAAAAATGATAATACATAGATAATAAATAAAATCATATACAAAATAATAAAGTAAAAAATAATATAAATAAAATAATTATTCTTATTTATTTATTTTTACTCACAAGCTGGTAACCTTCCATTCATCCACTTTCTATCTTTATTATTATTATTATTATTAGTAGTAGTAGTAGTAGTAGTAGTAGTAGTAGTAGTAGTTTTACTCTTATGAATCTGAAGGGGCCTCTTCCTGCAGAATGAGTACTTTTACTTTATTACTTTACATACATTTTCCTGAAATACTTACCTCGGCTACTATAAGTAACTTTTTTGATGAAGGACTTCTACCAGTAACGGAGTATTTTTCCTGTGTGGTATCAGTACTTTTACTTGAGTAAAGAGTACTTTCCCAACACTGCTTATATCAATCTTTTATATTAATGTTTGTAATTAAACAAGCTCCTTTGGCGACATATCATTTAAAGTATCCATGACATAAAATCAAAAGTTAAATATAAACGTCATCACTTGTGATTTTTATCATTGTCACATCCATGTGTTTATTTCTCTGTGTGATTTTATAATTCAGAGTATGTGTCCATGCTCGTTCCGGGGCCGCCGCTTCTAGAATTTTCTTGTGTGCCATTGGAGGAAAAAAACAAAGGTCAAAGTTGACATTGTGCAATATTGCTCCAGCTGCTAATGTGTGAATAAAAGAGAAAACACTGCAGAAACACGTATATAGCATATATTAATCTATTAAAATAAGATGTATGGATGGACACGTGTGTTTCCGGTTTGCCTCAGGTGTACTGGAACTTTCTGTTTGTCCAAAAATCTTCAGGCAAGTTCTGAGCAGGCACTGCGCATGCGCGTTCTGGATATTTCCTCACGTGGAGAGCTTCCCCTTCAGTGTCAGTAGAAGAAACCGGGGTGCAGCAGCTTCACGTGGACGATCACAGCTCTCACACGTCCTGAAATGGTAAGAGACTTTGTCCACAAAATGTCCGTGTTCATATTTAATACAGCAGACAGACAGATAATTAAATACAGGGTGAAAGGGAGGCTGCTAAGTTAGCGTTAGCATCGAGCTAATGATGTGTTAGCTGCCTTTAATATCGACTCACAAGGTCAAGCTGTTGGAGAGCAGAGAGAGGAGAGGGACATGTGTCAGACACACACATGTTCATCTGTATTATTCACTGTTTAAAGTGTCACAGGAGAACACACAGGTTCAATATGTGCAGCTACACACTCACTGTTAGCTAACACATGTTTCTGCTGCCTCACATAGTGATTATCAGACAGGAGAGCTGCGATCATGTGCAGATACAGTAATAATCCTACAGCTAACTGATCCTGACGTTCATTCATTCATTCATTCATGACTTCAGCAGCTGCACATGTGGATGAATGAAGTCTCAGTGATCTCACACACACACCAGTGTTCACAATAATTTTGTGCCTTTCCTCTCTTACTGTTAATATTATTACCTGTTAGTAGGATAATTAATATATTTTGCAATGCATGCCCTTGGTCAGTGAATAATTTGGATTGCATGCCCGTTTAAACCAGTTCCGGCTTCCGTTACGTAGCTGTGACCTCACGACCTGTCCATGCTCACCATAGAACAGATCAGTCTCGTGTTTAATGGTTTTTATAATTAAATTTGGTTTTAATGTAAAAACCTGGAATATATGTTTTAAAAGTCTTTAAAATAACTGCTAAATGAATGGAGATTTAATGTTCTGACTTTTAATTAAATTATTATCATTATTATTATTATTATTATATTAAACATTATATTTCATTATTTGCAATTTATATTCTTTTTTCCATATTTTATTATTTTATTTTTATTTTATGTTAGACATTTTATTCTAACTTTTGATTAAATATTATCATTATTATGTATTTTTTGTATGTATTAAATATTACATTTAATTATTTACAATTTCTATACTTTATTTTCTTATTTAGACATTTTTGTACTACTAAAGATGCACTAGGACTTAAATACTAGTTCAACTTTGCATGGTTTTAAATTTGTCGTGTGTTGTGATATATTTTATCAGCACTATAGGCCAACATATAAAAGCCCGACTAGGGAAATAGATGAAATTGGCATTAGTTATAAACTCTCAGTGTCATACTTGGTCATGTTAAACTGCATCGTCCTTATCAAATAAAAGAAAAAAGAAAAAAAATAGTGAAAAAGAAAAACAAAAAAGTCAAATCAGAGTGAAACTGAATTTACAAAGCAGCAGAAATAACAAACTACATGTTTGTGCATGATTAGATTTGCAAAATATCCTTATTTAATTTCACAGTGATGCTGTGGGGAAGTTGGACTCTTACAACACTAAGTAGAATAGCAGCGTATTATGAAAAAAAAAATAGCCCCAAAAAAGTTGATGGTTTATTAGTTGTATTTAACTGCAGTAAGGTTCACTCTTTATGAACATTTTAAAAAACTGATTTCATTCTGTCATTTTTGAGCCTGTAGTTTGAGATGTTGTTGAAATAAAAGGTTTTAATCTCCATGTTATATAAATGGTGTAAAACACTTGAGTATGAAAACGTTTAGGAGCAAGCAGTTAGGGAATGTGAAGTTAATCATAACCACCTTATGCAACATCCCCCCACCACCACCTCATAACAGAGAACCTTCTGGAAGAACCGTCCTTGAGCGTTATCTTGTTTAAAAACCTGGAGGACGTTTCATCACAAATCAAAGCTGTTATCATCGTTCAGTGTTTGTTTGTTTCTGACTGGATTTTGTAACCAAGTCCCCAAAACTTCTGCATCTACGTTATAATCAAAGTATTTTATCAGCAGTCGTCTGCGGCCTCGGGTTAAACTGTCACCATGAATAAGTAACTCCACCTCCTTTGGTCGTTTACTGAATCTGATCTGTCAACAAACTGGGACGTGTCCTTACCCCCCCCACTCCCCTCCACCAGCACCAGCACCACCACCTCTTTCCCAAACAACCTTCACCCAAGGTCACCGGAACATCTGCTGTTATCAGACATGGTGGCAGCTGCTGTTTTAAATCTGGTCCTCCCTCATTCCTCTGCTGCTCCTAACCTGAACTGACATTATTAAGAAACGCTGACTTGAGTTTTGTAATAATTGACTTGACAAAGGCTGCGTCTGTGAGGAGCTGCTCATTTATTGGTTAGATTCTGTCTTTAATTAAGCTCTCTGTAACCTCTCCCTTCCTCCTCCCTCCTCCCTCCTCTTTACCTTCCTCCCTCCTTCAAAGCAGCCACAGATTAATCATTCCTGTATTTTAACCAGATTTTTTTTTCTGCGTTGAAAACACATTTCAACTGACTCCTGAGCTGAGTTTTTTTGTATTGTAGTTTCATAAGAGTTACCCTTGTTCTTATATCACTTCACTTTGATTCTATTTTATCAGCTTGTGCTTGTAGATGTTGCAAAACCCACCAGGGCTGCAGCTAACAATACGTGTCATTACTCATTAATCTGCCCATTATTTTCTTGATTTATTGATTAACCACTTTGCCAATCAAATGTCAGAAAATGGTGACAATAGAGCTCAAGGGAAAGTCTTAAAATGGCATGTTTTTCATCCTAAAATTCAGTTTATGATCCTGTATGACAAAGAAAAGCATTAAATTCTCACATGAAACATGAAATCAACAAATAATTATTGCCTAAAAAATTACTTAATTTCTTAAACACCAACCACAACTGCTGATTAATCATTCCTGTATTGTAATCCAAATATATTTCTGTTTAAAACATTTAATCCTGAGTTTGTTCGTTTGGTCATCATCACTTTTATGCCACTTAAAGTCATTTAGAGATTGTGTTTTATCAGTTGGTGCTTGCAGATGAAACTCATCAAGGCTGCAACTAATGAGTCATTTCGTCATCATTTAATCTGCCCATTATTTTCTTGATTTATTGATCCTTGGTTTTGTGAATAAAATGTCAGAAAATGGTGAAACACACCCTGCAGAATTTCCCAGAGCCCAAGGAGACATATTCAAATGGCACGTTTTATCTGACCCACAGTCCAAAAATCCAAAGCTGTTCAGTTTAATATCATGTTGTGACAAAGAAAAGCATCAAATTTTCACATCTAAGAAACAAGCAAATGATGTTTGGCTTTTTGCTGAATAAATTAAATGATAATTAGATTTTCATTAAAGTCACCAATTAATTTTCTGTCGGTCGACTCATAGTTACAGCTCTAAAACTCAGTCTGAAGTCTACTGACTTTGGGTCTCAGTAACAGAAGCACTGGCTCAACACGGCCCCCTTGTGGTATTTTGGGGTTCTTACAGCACATATCAGGGCTTTACTCAGTGGTGTAACAGAGGTAAAGTGTTATAATGTTTGTGGTCACTTCACAGGCCTTCAGAAAATTCCTCCCCCTGTTCGACCGGGTGCTGGTGGAGCGTTTCACCGCAGAGACGGTAACAAAGGGGGGCATCATGCTGCCAGAGAAGTCTCAAGGCAAAGTGCTGCAGGCCACAGTGGTGGCGGTCGGACCCGGCTCTGTCAACCAGGTGAGATAATTATCTCAGCCCGGTGCTGGAGCTTGTTCTCTGGGTGGAGATATACAGGTGTATCTGCTGTGAGGAATGACTGGTGTTATGGTTGGTATCTTCTGTTTCTTTCTAGAAAGGGAACGTGCTGCCGGTCAGTGTGAAGGTTGGAGAGAAAGTTCTTCTACCAGAGTACGGAGGAACTAAAGTCACCCTAGAAGACAAGGTATGGTACAGTCGTCACAGGAAGCAGTTCAGATTTGTTTCCTCTTCTGCCCTCCTGTTTACATTTTATTTATTTAATCCTCCAGGACTATTTCCTGTTCCGTGACGGAGACATCCTCGGCAAATACGTCGAATGAGTCTTCATCGTGTTGTTGCTGTAGATCATGTCGGTCCCTGTCATCATCCCCGGAGAGAAGACATTAAGTTTCCTCTGTCATGTCTGTTCTTCTTTTCTTTTTCTATGTTATACAATTGTAAATAATTCTAACCACATTTTGTTACAATAATAAAGGTGAACTGTTGATCGTTGTCTTTTTGTCTCATCGTTTCAAACAGTTGCTGAACATATTAAGCAGTTTATGTCCAGTGTACCCATGATTAAATATTCTGAAGTCAAGGTCCACTTAATAAATTTTTCTGTAGCTTTTGACTGCGTCTTGCAGCCGCCCTCAGTACTCGTGTATACTTGTATAACTACTGTTTACTCCCTCAAACAGAAATGGACATGACTTGTGCAAGAACAAATGAAACCTTGGGACGTAGTGCTCGATAAAACCCCCCCGATTTCACTCCATGTTGATTTTTAAAAAGGCAAATCTTACTCTAAAGGGCGACATACTGTAAGTCCAAACTAAATTTGTACTGTAAGATAACCTGCAAGTTTGATGACAGTCTGATTTTGTGAAGAATATTAATTAAATTCAATATAAAACTATTTATCTTGAAGGAAATTCTTGTGCCAGAGAGTGCTTTGAATTACACAAACAACATCCAACGTTCACAAACCAGTAACTACCAGAACAACCAGTGGGTCACACAGCATACAGTCTCATATGGCAAAGTAATGGTATTTAGTGTAACATGACTGATACATAGTCTGGGTGTAATATTATATAGTTAGGTATAGTGTATACACAACAAAATATATTAACACAGTCAAAAGTGAGGTATGTTATTTAACAGTTAAAGTACCTGTTGTGTAAAATAAATTACATACTGTAATTTGTATTAGTATTATTAGTGATACATTCTTGTCTTCAGCAGTATTTAAAGCTGCAGCTGGTGAACGTGGAGCTAATTTAACTATTTACTGAGCGACTGTCAAGGCCGGATCGACCTGTTGGAGTCCCCCAGGGCCTTCTGTTAGGCCCCTGTTGATTTTACTGGTGGGCCTCTGGGTTGTGTCGTTATGTAAGAAGGATTTATGACAAATCTGTGTTTATTCTGACAACAGTTAATACAGCAGAAGCTCTGTGTACATACAGGGTAGAATTTGTTGTCTGTCCAAATACAATACAGAAAACGTTGAGAGGCGTGGTGTAGATGTGTGCTTCCGTCTGACAATGAGGCAGGTTCTTTCTGTGTGTGCCGCCCTCTGATAGGCTGTGAAGATACCATTATGATGATATGATACCGTATCATAGCCTCTGTCCAGATGTCCATCCTTTTTCAACTGCTTATCCAAAGCTGGGTTGTGAGGACAGCAGGCTGAGCAAAGTATTCCAGATGTCCCTCTCCTCAGCAACGCTTTCCAGCTCCTCCTGGAGGATCCTGAGGTGTTCCCAGACCAGATGAGATATGTAATCCCTCCAGTGTGTTCTGGGTCTGCCCCGGGGCCTCCTACCAGTGGGACGTGCCTGAAACACCTCTAACAGGAGGCGTCCAGGAGGATCCTGATCAGATGTTGAACCACCTCAACTGACCCTTTTCAATGCGAAGGAGCAGCGGCTCTACTCCGAGCTCTCTTGAGATGTCTGACTCCTCCCCCTATCTCTAAGGCTGAGCCCAGACAGACACCCTACTGAGGAAACTCATTTCAGCCGCTTGTATCTGTGATCTCATTCTTTCAGTCACTACCCAGAGCTCATGACCATAGGTGAGGGTTGGGATGCAGATGGACCAGTAAATCGAAAGCTTTGTCTTCTGGCTCAGCTCCCTCTTCACCAAAACGCAGGCCACACGAAACCACCGATCCGTCTCATGCTTCATTTTACCCTCACTGTGAACAAGACCCTCAGATACTTAAACTCCTTCCAGATATCCAAATGAGCTTTGTTCTGTTGAAACAGCAAATATACCCATATACTAAAAACATTCCTCTCAGTGTCATCTTTCACATCTTCCACCAGGCATTGTGTTAAGGAGCAGCTCCAGACTTTATACTCTGACATCACAAATTTGAGTTTTAGCACTTGAGTTTTTAGATTTGGTTCATTTTTACTAATAATTTTGGACTGCCTCAGACCTTAGAGATTACATGTATGAACTCTGGAAATGGGTGAAGTTTCCCTTTAAGTAAAGTATTTGAATACTGACATAAACTCCTCCACTGAGGAGCCTACAGCTACCTTGTGTGTGTGTTTTTTTAATAAAGCACAGTTCTCGAGTAAATGTAATTATTTACTTTCCAGTGTTGGTTATAAATGTGTAATTAATTAAAATAAACCTCTAATAACCTAAAATAAATTAAATATGAGCCCGTCGCGTCGTGCTCGTTGCACCGTCTGTGATTCATATCCGAGTCCGCTGCTACAACACAGCGGCTGACGAACATCCGGGTATTCTGTCGAGATGGTCATGGCGGAGGGTACTGCAGTTCTCAGGAGGAATCGGCCTGGAACCAAGGCAAAGGTGCGTTTCCACCCCGCAGGAACACCCCAACAACACCGCGAACAGCCTCCCACGACTCTGCGATAAAGTCCCACTCGAGTCCTGGTGTTTTACTTCACGTCTTTTGTCGATAACTCAGGTCGAAGACTACACATAAGAAGGGGCCTGACCTGGAAATAGCCAGCTAGCTATCGTTAGCTGCTGCTCCCGTCTAGTTCCTGGATGAACGTTATATTAAATAGGGTTTGCTCTACATTTATCAGCTCCGTTGCGTATCAATAGATGTTGCTTGTATAGCCACTCAGCCAATTTGGTTCACAAACGAGTCTATATCGCCACTGTGGCTAACTTATCTACTGCTCTTTAGTTGTTTTCTTTGCAGGAAGCAGTCGCACCCCGGCTGACGTTATCAAGCTAACTAGCTAGCGTCAGGTTAGCTTCGTAGCTGTGTGATAACGTAGAAAAATAAACGGCTGCTAGCTTTAACAGTAAGGTGTTCTCTCAACAGAGGGCTTGTCACCAAACTTCAGTTAGCGTAGCATGGCTAACGTTAGCTTCCTTTCGTCATGTCATTGGTCATATATGTGTAATGACGGCAGGGTCGTTAGTTCACGTCAGATGATAGTTATGTGGTTAGCATTGTTTATGCTACAATAGCAGCTCTGTCCACTCTGAGTGTGTAGACTAAAATTATCCTCCCTTCATGTGTAGGATTTCTACAACTGGCCGGATGAATCATTTGAGGAGATGGACAGCACCCTGGCTGTCCAACAGGTGTGTTGACATGTTGTGTGTGTGTGTGTGTGTGTGTGTGTGTGTTCCCCACCCATCTGTCAGTGGTTGAAGAGCTCAGTAAAAGTAGCAGTGTCACACTGTAATACTACCATGTTTCAAGTTAAACTCCTACATTTTAAAATGTATTAAAAGTAAAAGTACTCATTACGCAAAAAGGCCCATTTCAGAATAACGCAAGTCATACTATTTTATTATAATTATTGATTAATGTTGCTATATTTACTGCACGGTAGCTTGTGAATTCCTCCAAGATATCAGTAGATTCTTATCTTACCCACGATAATACTACATGATTAATTTGTCCATTATATGTAGTATTATTATTGTAAAACTTGAATTAATAGCCTGGACTATTATTTGCTTAAATCACTGAAATCAACAGGCCTGCATTTGAGACAGGCCTTTAATTCCTTTTACACAAAACTGTTGCTCAGCAAAGATCAGGACATACAATCAAATTGTGTATTTAAACCAGTATGAATATAACTTGTTTAAAAATTAGGCTTCAGACAATATATCACCTATGAATCATTCATTTGATTTAGCTTTGACAGAGTGTCAGAGACAGAGTGAGTTACAGCACCCTGCACACTGACACAACACCATTCTATCCTGTTAAAACAATCCTCACAGCTTGGATTATTTTTATGAAAAAGCCCTCTGATTAATAAGAATAACTTACAGGGTTATCATGGAATGGACACATAATTTGAGGGAGCCAAAAGCCCACTTTTATACCTCAGAAGATCTTCTATAAAAAACTGCTTGTCAATCAGACCAGGCCTCTAATTGAGACAGGCGTTTGTTTCTTAAAACGTGTTACTACACCAGGTAAGTACAAGGGCCTAGGTGATTAATTGGGGCTTGGCTTAAAATTGAAGTTTTACGGTAATCTGAATCTGTGAATAAACCAATAAATAAAGGTATCAAAGGTCCAGTCAAAATTCCAATTTGTAGGATTTAGGGGGATATGTTGGCATAAATGCTATATAGTATTCATAACTATGTTTTAGGGATGCACGGTAATATCAGCATGTTATCAGTATCAGCCGATAATGGCTTTAAAATGAATGATCAGGTAACATGCTTTTTCTGAGTGGTTGACTTTATGTAAGTATAAACAATCATTAATAGTGTACATTTTTCAAGGCATTTATTGCTTATTTCAGTCAGCAGCTACAATAAATATGTTCAGAAAATTGAACAATCGCAGTCTAAGGACATTATTCCATGTGTGTCCTGACACAATATTCATGTGCCCATATGGTCGCTGAGTGAACAGGAGGAATGTTTGCTGTAATCTTTCGTCCTGTCCCTACTTGTCATGAACAGATCCCCTTCTAATGCTGTTCCAATGTAAGCGATGAAAGACAAAATGTATTCCTAATATCAGAGGAGGTTTGTATCAGGCTTCAGCAGGTTGAGTTAACCCAACAAGTGACTCTCCTCCAAAGTTTTAGTACAATGGAGACACTGTTCAGGGTAACGCAAAGAGAAAATGTCACACAGTCACTTGGTAAGATGAACACTGATATGAAAACTATCCAGCTGTGGACCTCATGTTTGGGGACCTCAGGTGTGTGAGCTTACAGGAAGAGAGTAGTGATACCAGTGTATTGTGGCCATATAAAGGTGATGGAGATCTTGTATGTTGCTGTGGCTGGGTGAGGGTCTCTAATAACAATGTGTTGTGTGATGGTTCTGTTTCAGTACATTCAGCAGAACATTAGATCAGATTGCTCCAATATCGACAAAATCCTGGAGCCTCCAGAGGGTCAGGATGAAGGAGTGTGGAAGTATGAGCATCTCAGGTATGTTGAAGAAGATTGAATACTTTTGACACATTATTTTATATGTTTTTGGAAGGTTCAGGGGTTGTGGATTTCTTTCTGTTTCTTTTTTGATCTCTTTATTCATTCACTTAACCCAGTTCAGCAGAACCGTGCTAGGGCTCATACACATGTTGCGTCTTTAAACGTCTGAAAAACTTGAGATCGGGTGCTGGGTGCTACTCTTGTGCCTTTTCTGTGCCAGCTTTCAAGAGCATGGCAGCAGGTTGCGGCGTTCCAGAAGTTGAGCTCAGTTTATCTCAAGGCGCAGTCTTTGCGTCCTGAAAAATAGGTGCTCGCAGGGCACTCATTAGTTTACCTGGTAAAGCAGGCGCCCCATGTGCAAAGGCTCTGTCCTTTCTGCAGTGGCCGCGCGTTCAGCCTTTTGCTACATGTCACCCCCTCTCTCTCCCCCTTTCACGCTAAAACATCTGTCCTATCAATTAAAGGCAAAAAAGCCCTAAAAAATATCCATATAAAAATAGGTCCTCTGGAACGTTTGTGTGCCACAACAGCGTCGCTCTGACGTTTGAGTGTGCGCACGTGTGCTGCATGTCTACATGGAAAACAATGGAAAAAAAACGCTGCTTGCTTCATTCATGCCGCTTAATTCGTGTCACTCTCGTTGCTTCACTCCATCCATCATGCTGCATCCATGTCGCGTCTGACCACATCACATTGACTTTACATGTAATTCACTTGCATGAATTGTTTTATTTTCGTGCCTGGTATGAACACAACATAGGACGTCTTGACCTCCTTGATGCATTGTATTTAACTAATATGAAATAATGTTATGCTATTTTGAAGGTACCCCAAACATACCATAAATGGTTCTGGATTTCTTGTTTAGTTTACAGTGTCAAAAATGTGAGGACATAGGATTTATACAAGAGATGAATAGATGATAATGAACAGGAGAGCAGGGTGCAGTATAGATGTACTTAGCCCCTCAAGTAACCTTTAACCCCTGCCCATAAATTGTGTTTAAATTGTCATTAGATACAGCAGGATGACTCGTTCATGTTATTTTCTCCTAATGTTGCTCTTGTTGTGTGTGTGTGTCTGTAGGCAGTTCTGTCTGGAGCTCAATGGACTAGCTGTAAAACTGCAGGTAAGTCATCGAACTCACTAGATAGACAGACTTCTAATTTTCCTATTTTGAGGATGCTTAGATTGAAGGAAGTTTTGTCAATCTTGTGTTAGTACTAAAGACAAAGATCTAAATTAGATGCAATTTAATGTTTTAAAAGCACTTTTTGGGGTAAAGAGCAGTTATTTTACCCATTTTTATAAAAGGAACATAGACACCAAAATCATCAGCATCTCTTTAGCCAATTTATCAGATAATTGCTATAGTCACACATTGTCATGTCCAGTATCACATCTGATAAAAGAGGTGAAACAGCAGGTCCTTCTGAGGAGTGGTTTAAATAAGTTTATTGTGACTTTGTATTGACATCACATCAGCTGTAGTGACACTTGTCTCTCCTCCTTCAGAGTGAATGCCATCCAGACACCTGCACTCAGATGACAGCCACAGAGCAGTGGATCTTTTTATGTGCTGCCCACAAAACACCCAAAGAGGTGAGTTAGGAACATTGTTATTGTCACGTTTATAAGTAGAATTATCTCCATGTATGTATGTATCCCAAAGTATGATTTATGTCTGTTATTGACGGTCATATTTACATGTCCACAGTGCCCTGCCATTGATTACACCAGGCACACGCTGGACGGAGCTGCCTGTCTTCTCAATAGCAACAAATACTTCCCCAGCAGGTCAGTGGCCCTCCCTAAACCTGATTTTTAGTTGGCCGCGTGGGGGCAGCAGAAATACAGTGTGAACACAATCTCCCAAGGGACATATCTGTCTCTTTAGCTGCTAAATGCTCCACTGCGTTTGTCTGCTGTTTCCTGCTGAGCAGCTGGTGCACTGTAGCGTTTTACAGATTTTTCTGAAAACAACACTATGAGAGCAACGAGAGTGAACCAGAACTGTAGAGCTGTGAGCCAGAAAACAAAAACAATGAGCAGACACTCTAGTTACAAAAGTCAGCTGCAGATTTGTATATTTTTACACACTTACAGACTCAGCACAGTGAAGATATATATTTTATTCTTAATATCTTAGGTACTAGTGTTAGACATTGTAGTATAATGCACATTTTTATTTGTCATTGTTTTTTTATTACTTCATATTTACATAGTTCTATTTCATACGCCTAGTCTTACTTATAATATAAATCTCTATTCTTTACATCGGAGCAGCTGTAATGAATCACAATTTCCACTCAGGGATCAATAAAGTATTTCTGATTGTGATTGTGTGATTTGTCTTCTGTTTTTAGGGTGAGCATCAAGGAGTCATCGGTGGCCAAACTGGGCTCCGTCTGTCGTCGTATCTATAGGATATTCTCTCATGCCTACTTCCATCACCGCCAGATATTTGACAAGTATGAGGTAGGTTTCACTGGCAGTATCTCATGAAGCGAGTACGCCTTAAAGATGCCCGTGTTTTGGAATTAATTCTGGGTTTTCTTGTTGTTGTTTTTTGTTTAGGTACGATTAGTCTCTTAAATTTAAACTCGAGTCTCTAAACAGTAAGGCAGGGCATGGCCCGGTGGCTTAGTGGGTAGAGCGCGTGTCCTTGCCACAGTGGCTACAGGCTCAGTTCTGGCCTGCGGGCTCCCACCACATGCTTATGTACATGACTACATGAACAGATGTTGAGTGACTACTAAACTTGACCATCAGTCACTCAACATGTAAACTATTAAAAAAAGCAGAGAAGTAAAATCAAACTCTCTCCCATTCAACAAAAATTAGGAGTTTATATTAAACATCATCTCATTGAGTCAACATCTAAACCAGTCAGCTGTTTGATCAGGTGAGAGCCAGATGTTTCCCATCACGCTCGGGGTCTTGCAGTCCGTAAAGAGCAACTGCAGCACCTGGCTCTAAAAACTGCGGCCGCCTTGATCTCACAAGATTATCGCTGTCCACTTTTGTATGATGTCAGAGTCGGGATGAAGTCAGACATGAATCTAACTGGCAAACCGTGTGAAGCGATCGCCGGTGATCAGTTCTGCACAGGCCCTGCTCATCTCGAACGTTATTTTATGAACAATTTTCATGTTAAAAATGCAATTAGAATTTAATTACAAAAAAAGACCATGCTCATAGATAATATTCCCAGGTGCAGTAAACAGTCGGTGTCAGGGAGGACTTCATGAACCAGATCCTTGTGTAACTTTTCTGTCTTTAATCTTTTCTTAAAAGCAGTTTGCAGGACTTCATTTGTTGTGGCGTGTGTGTCTGTGTACAGAATGAAACGTTCCTGTGTCACCGGTTCACGCGCTTCGTCATGAAGTACAATCTGATGTCCAAGGACAACCTGATCGTGCCCATTCTGGAGGAGGAAGTGCAGAACACCTCATCAGCCGGGGAGAGCGAGGCCTAAAGAAACAAGCTGCTGCCATAAAGGGAGACACATGTAAAACACACGACTTCACACACGACAGAGGAGACACACTCACACACACACCCTGCATACGCACACACACACACACACAACACACACATATAAATATATAAACACACTACAGTGTAATAAGGCTCCTGTCTAGTAACACTGTCCATGTCCCTCCACCCTCGTCACCTGTGTCTATCTCAAAGGAAGTAAGGGTTAAAGAATAGCGGGAGCAGAGTTCAGCCATGCCTGCAGGACAAGATGACGTTTTCTATCCTATGTACACTCTCTGTGTTTGTCCAGACTCACACTGTGTCTCTGGACGCAGCCCCTGCTCTCACACTACTCCTCTAGGGGAAACCCCTTTTTCCTTTTAATCTTCTTTAAGCAGCTGGATTTGCAAAAAAAAATGTAATCATGGTGACCTGTATTGTTGACAAAGGCACACACTGACAGCCCCCCCCCCCCCCCCCCCCCCCCCCCCCCCNCCTCCTCCTCCTCCTCCTCCTCCTCTCTTAATTCACTATCATGTTTTCTGATGGTGCTTCACTTTTTGTGTCTGCTTCTGTTTCTCTATCTGCTTGTGTTGCCTACCATTCTGTTTTTCGGGGGGTTGTCCCATGAAATGGATCACTAAATTAGCCTGCTGACTTAATAATGCTATTAAAACACAACTGTAGGTGTGTGGCTTGTGTGGTAGTGATCAAAGAAACTTAATCTCTAGCTTTGTTAGTGTACTAGCAGTCAGATATTCTTTCTCTTTGGCCTCTGAACAGTGTTTCAGAGTATTTAGGAAGGCTCGTTGGCTAACTCTGATCCTGCTTTGTGACATGCCCCCATTTTAATACTGTGTGAAATGTGCCTGATATTCCCCTCTCCTCGACTGATAGACACGTGACAGGACTGCGCTGCTGTAGGCCAGTTCTTTACTTGATATTTGACGAGTAAACACCTCGAGGAAAGGATGAAATATTGGCCACATTTACGTATCGGAGCACAACCTCCCTTCTTTTACCCTCCCCCTCATTAAGTTATTTTGTGGGAGGAGTCTTGTCAATCCAAACCCACTTTTTTTTTTTTAATGGACTAAAAAATTTTGTTACTGTTGACATTTTCATGATGTCTGTTAATAAAAAAGACCTATTATTCAGGTGGCTGTGGACATTTGAAAGTTATTCAGTGTTTTCCTGCAGACAGGTGTGAAATCTGACACTTGTGTTGCTTAATCATAACCAGAGTGAGTCGTAACCAACACTGCAGAAGACGCTGTTAATCAGACATGACGCACAAACCATGGGAAATAGTGTTTAATGCAATAAAAAAGGAGGCAAAATGTACTCTCCAAAAAAAGGAAAGGCTGGAATATTAATACTGACATTTAGTAAACTCTGACGGGGAGTTTGTGGAGCGTAACACATTTAAAACATGGAGCAGTCAAGATGTGGGCGGCGTGTGTGTGTGTACATCACTGGAAACCTAAAACTATACTATCAGTTCCTTTGATCTCATTACTTCCCTCCAAAGACGCAAAATAACATGCATCACAGTAAGTCAGAATTTGCACAATGATTACTAACATCTAATATATTTATATACAGCAGCATCATATCTTCTTTAAAACAACATCCCTTTCATGGCATTTAATAAAGACGACTCCACCGATTTTACACTTTCACTCCTGAAACATTCTCAGACTCAGTGGACACTTTTATAAAGGAGTCGTCTCTTAATTTCACAAATTATTCTTCCTGGTCTAAACCTGGTGCCTACATTACCCACGATGCAACCCGACCACCGACAGCTCAGAAGAGATTTGGGTGAGTTAAGCTAGTAGCTGCAAATTAAGCCTGCAGAGGTCTGGTTAACATTTCTTTCTAACAAATCCCCAGATTTCTTCACACTTTCAAACTTGTCTTTTACTGTGGAAACACATTTCTGCCAATGTGATGACAGAAAAGATCTTAGTCATGAGAAACCTGGAAATAATGACAATATCTCAAAAAATAAAGACTTAGGTTAAGTTTGGCATTTGTCAACAAGGACCATATGTCCTTGTGCAAATTGGTCAAAGAGACTGATGTGAACAACGGTTTTATGTTCACTCAATTTTCCACTGCAACAAGTGACATCTCGTGATATTTCAGAAGGAGACTTTAGCTTAACAAAGCAACAACAGACCTGATCAAGCAAACGGTAAAGAGACGCTTCAGCCACTTAAAACAACAGTCTGTGTCGCTCTGGGGCAAAAATAACCACTTTTAATGGACATATAGTTAATTGCCCTGTGTGCCTCCATTACAGCCTGTTGCTCTGTTCACTTAATACTGGACCAGATTTAAAATTTGTCTAATTTACATGGGGGAATAGGATCTAGGTTGAAAAATGCAGGTTATCCTTTAATTATCTTGAAATAATGACTCAGTCTAAATAAAGTCATAGGATCTCAAAATGAGACTTAATAAGAAACTTTGAGTATCACAAAATGAGAAACTCTTAAAACAATGACTCAGTGTCATTAAATAAGTATGACTTGAAAATCTAAATAGAGAAACCTCAATGTAGTGAGTTAGCATCTCAAAATAATTGAGATACTTTCCCCAAATCACTTATTTTGAAACAGAGAAATGTTCTCAATGTAATGAGTTAGTGTTTTAAAAAAAGAAAACATGCTCGATTATAACTGATCTCAAAATAATGACAAACTTTGTAAAAAGGAGGATTTTTCTCAAAACAATGACTTATCTCAAATATAGATAAATATTCTAATTGTAAACAGTTTGTGTTCCAAAATAATTATGCATTTCCTCAAAAATGACTGATCTCAAAATAATGAGAAACGTAAAACTAACGAGAAACTCCCCAAAAAATGACAAATTCAAAATGACGTGGCATCTCAAAATAATGAGAAACTTTCTTAAAGTCACTTCTGAAATAGAGAAATGTTCTCAATGTAATGAGATATTCCAAATATAATAAAAAATAATTACTCAAAAATAATTACCCAGTATCACAAAATAATGAGAAACTCGCCCAAAATAATGACTTAATTACCTCAAAATAAAAAGGAACTCTCTCAATGTAGAGTTAGTATTTCAAAATATTTAAAAAAACTGTCTCAAAAGCGACTCTTAAATCTAATAATTAGCATTGTTTCACATTATTTTAAGATACAAAGTCTTTCATGTTATCTTGAGATTCTAGTCTGTTTTTTTGTGACAAGTCTTTATTTGAGAAAGTCTCATAATATTGTCTGACAGGATCTTTTCTTATCACACTAGCAGAAATTAGTTTCCACAGATTCTCTTCAGCCCCAACCGTTCGTTAATACAACCTTTTTTCCCACATATGCACTCATACTTCCCAAAACCCTGCACACAAATTTCAATTTGTAAAATCGGTGGAGTTCCCTTAAAATAAAACTAAAATACATCGTCTTCATCATGACTTCATCCTCACAGAGAAAGTATCAGGTGTGTGTCCAGTACCATGTCAGCTGTAAAGCAGCAGTCTGCAGTCTCGTCTGAGGAAAGTACCACAGAGGAAATATAAAATAACACTTAATAAATGAATGCATGATGAGACGTTTCCAGAGTTATTTTAAAATGGCACCAGTCAGATGAAACATGAGGACGGGGTCAACACTGATATATAAAATGTCTCCAGTTTACAACACTGAAAAGCTCCTGGTAGCACCTTGCTGGCTGTGATGTCACAGGAAAATACTGTTCTCTGTGTGAGTGTACGATGTCAGGCAGTACTATTTTCAGTACCGATGTGCACAGGAAAACTGTGACAGACTCCCTGATAAATATTCACATCCTGCCTCCGTCTACAAACGAGGAGAGGAGCTGTGAGTTTGAGGTGAGGGTGATGTGACACTAAAGAAAAAGGCTGAGGGGAAACAAAAATGTGTTAAACTGTGAGACGTGTGAGCTGCGTCAAAAGAAAGTAGAGCCCTCTGTTCCTCATCTCACCTCCTGTGTTGTTCACAAACTGTGCAGAAGTCTGTGCTTTATAGTAACGGAGCAATTTCCCAAGAACACCTGAACTCATCAGAAAAACAGAAGCATTAAAGTGTAAAGTGTCTCCCATGGACGTGCCCGTGTCTCTCCCCAACAGATCTGAATATAAAAGTTTGGATGTAGATGTAAATAATACCTCATTATGGCTTCATTAAAAACGTTTTTTAAAAAGTGCGGCGCTCTTCTACATTAAAGTCTCTGTTAAAATGAACGTGATCAACAGTCTGTGGATTTCCCAGAGTTCAGGTCATTTTTCAACAACGTTTAAATCCTCAGCTTCAGTCTGCGTCCGTCTGTCTGCCCTGCTCACATACAGGTGACCTCAGCTTTCCCCTCCTCCTGCTCAAAGCCTCCTTCCTCCAGGTGAGACAGGGCGCTGGGATACCCTCCTCCGAACACCGGGAAGCCCCCGATGCCTCCGGCGGTCGGAGACAGCTCCTCTGGAGGGATGGGGCTGCTGACCGCTCGACTCACAGAGCGACTGGACACTTCGCTGTGCACAGATAAAGACTGGAGGACACACAGACAGGAGTTCAGCTCAGATCAACAGCAACAGCACTGATTTTATAATAAAGAAACAAGAAATAAAGAGCAAGAGGTATTTTTTATGTCTCTGCACCAACGATAGCCATGACGCAGGTAGACAGTTGTCCATCCGTCCGATCCTTGAGAACACAATATGTCAAGAACGCCTAAAGGAAATTTCTTCAACTTTGGCACAAATGTCAACATGTAGTAAACGATACCTGATTAGTTTTTGGTGGTCAAAGCCAAGGACACTGTGACCGTTTCTGTCTTAATTCCGTGACGCGATACCTCGAAAACGCCTTCAGGGAATTTCTTCATATTTGGCACAACTGTCCAATTGGAGGCGGCACGGTGGCGCAGTGGTAAATATTGTCGCCTCACAGCCAGAGGGTTTCTGGGTATTCAAGATGAACAATGTAAGACTCAGTGAAGCCAGGTGACCCAAAGAGTGCCGGGCGAAGTTGAACTTCATCACCAAGTTTTTATTTTTTTGCATGGGTATGATTTCAAAATACATTTATTTGCAGATGACATATTATTTACCCAGCAAACTCAGTGCAACACTTATTTAATCTCATGAAGGAGTTTTGCAACTTTTCGGGGTATAAAGTAAACTGGAACAAGAGTGAAGCAACTGTCTGACTTTTCCAGCACATCCTGGTGCAGCCGAGATAGTTTGGAAGAAGGAGGGACTAAAATATCTTGGTTTTAAAAATATTTTCAAGAGGGGAAATTATGTTAAGATACATGTCCCTGAGTTGATTAAAACTATTAGAGGAGATCTTACTAGATGGAGAACACTTACTCTGTGGAGCAGAGCGAAGAAAATTAAAATGAACGGTTTTCCTTGACTTTCTTTAACTATTTCTTCGATTCCATTGAAATTACTTGAATTTTAGTTTAAAGAAATGAAAAAGCTTTTTATAATGTTTCTCTGGGGGAATAAAAAAAAACAAGAATTGCTCTCAATAAACTTCCAAAGCATTGAAACAAAAAGGAGTTAGGAATACCCAAAATAAATACATATTATTTGGCCTTTAATGGCCTTTAATTGTTGCTTTGGGCCTATCATGAATATTGCCAGCCTGCAGCTGGATATGGCTGGAAAAGAAAATTACTGAGAGTCAAAAGCAAATATCTCTCTCTTCTTTGTAGTATAGTAGAAAGAGTAGTACAGATATTAAGAATCTGTCCATTAAGTCTTTAACTTTTGAATTATGTCCCAGAAATTTTAATTTGTCTTTAAAACCCATCTTAAAGAGGACAATCTGAAGTAACAGGCTACAACTCTTATTTCTGTTAACCTTCACTGAGCCACATTTTCAGTCAGAGCAATGCCGCTCTAAGTAAAGTGCAGCTCCCACTGTGTTCACCAGGGTGCAGTGTTGTCACATAAACAGCTTCTCCCTGCAGTTACAGCCTCACACAGTGATGGTTCTCCATCAGTCAATCTTCCTCCGCATGGATGATACTGACTGAATAAATATTGGCCTTCTTTTTCCACTAAACTAATTATGTGTCTTTTTTAAAATGGCTGTTGTTTGCAGGAAAAGTTTAATCAATTTTTTTCATCAATAATTAGGAGTAACAAGGGCCAATATGGGCTTATCACAGGTGGGTCGGTGAGTGGGGTTGTATACATTGGCAGACAGAGGTTCAGAGGCAGAGCGGGTCGTTCACTGATTGGAGGATCAGCAGTTCGATCAATAGCTCCTCCAGTCTGTATGTCAAAGTGTCCTTGGGCAAGATCCTGAACCTCAACTTGCACCCGATGGCTGTTCCATCTGTGTGTGAGTGTGCGTGAATGGTTACTGAGTGGCAGGTGACACCTTGTATGGTAGCCTCGACCACCAGTGTGTGAATGTGACATGTAGTGTAAAAGCACTTTGAATGATTGGAAGACTCGGAAGGCGCTATACATTTCATAACACATGCTTCATTTTAATGCATTTTTAAGTCAAGATAAAACATTTTTATTTTTATTTTTTTAAATATATTTAAGATAAATCTAAATAAAACAAACGAACATAAACAACCGCACTATATCCACCAGCTCGTCTCACTTTAATGGTAAAGTTTAATACTGTATGTTATCCTGCCTCATCACACATCTGTGTCACAGCGTTTTAATAACTACAGTTGTGGCACAAATGGTGTAAAACAAAGCATAAGCATCCCCTTCTGTTCCTGAGATACGACGTTACAACATGATGATGTCACAGTCAAGCTGACCTTTGACCTTTTGACCTTCATTATTTTATCCTGTTAGACATTTGTGTCAAGTCTGGTCAGAATCAAGATGTGAATTCTTGAGTTATGGCCAAAAACATATTTTGTGAGGTCACAGTGACCTTTGACCTTTGACTGCCGAAATCCAATCAGTTAATCATCGAGTCTAAGTGGACGTTTGTGCCTAATTTGAAAAAAATCCCTTAAAGGTGTTCTTAAGATATTGTGTTCACCAGGATGGGACGGACATGTGTGTACGCATGGACAACCTGAAAACTCCCATAATGCCTCAGGCTCTACTCTGCATCACATCAGTCATCTGTTCTCTCACCTGGTTCCTGGGTTGAGCTGCTGCCTGACTTCTGACCGGCCGCTGGAGAAACACAACCTGCTTTGTGGCCAAGTTCCCGTCACTGCACACACACACACACACACACACACACACACACACAGAGTGATGGTTAGCTCATAGAGGCTTTAACATGATACAGAGCAGTGTTACAGTGTGTGTTAGATCTACCTGTCGTGTCGGATGATGGGAGTGGGCAGCACACACGTGAGCAGCCAACCAAACTCTGCCAGAGTGTGAAGGAGGGGCCCGTAGTCTGTTTTCACGTTGGAGCCCTGAGAGGCAACACAATACATATAGATATGTAAGAGCCACTTAGAGACAAGTCAGCTGTTAAAGAGGGAGAAGACACCAGTAGGTCCGGCTTACAACCAGATCCAACTGTTCCTGCAAGCTGTCATGTTTTCTTTTAGGGAGCTCGTATTTCCGCATTGGTTCCCAACTAGTGGGGTGCAGTCTAAAAGTGAGTCACGGGTCGACTCTGAATGGACCGCAAGTGACTCACAAACATGTTAAGTCTGTAAAAAAACGCTTCATTTGGAGGGACAGTGAATATCCAGCACAGAGCTTTTATTTTGAAGTGCTGTTTCCTGCTGTAGAGTGAGTGACTACCTGACAGCTACTTCACAGAGAAGCAAACTAACTTGACTACAATGCCAAACACAAGTATGACAGTGAATATATAAAGCTGTGTGGACCTTGAACCAATGATTAAGAAGAAGTTTGGACCCTGGGGCTGGACCAGTTGAAACAGTAACAACACACACACACACACACACACACACACACACACACACACACACACACACAGACAAGGTATTTCACAAGTTGCATAAAATAAAGCATCTCTCTCATTTATCTGTACGGAGCCGGCCCGCAGAGGCAGCAGGGGGCTCAGACAAAACAACACAAGGTCGTCCAAAAAGAAACTGAACCTGGCTCAACTTCTGCTGCAACACAATATGGTGTCATCTGGCAGGGTGCTGCGTTGGCCAATCAAATACATGCAGGCACATGTTTCTGCTGGATTAACTGTATTATGAAGGTATTTACCTCACAATCATTGTGCTGTAATATAAAATAATCGCTGGCGTGATTGCTTTCCGAAGTTGTAAAATCCAATCTGAGTATTAAAGGTAGGGTCTGGAGGATCTTCCAGTTGCTGTTTGTAAACACACATTCAAATTTGGCCCCTCCTATCAGGCTCAACTCTCCCGGGTATACGGAGCCCGGAGGTACGGAAGAAGGCTTCACAGAAGAGGTTCAGGCAAGGCTCGTGCTGGTGCATGCTCGGACACGCTCGGGCATGTCACCTGCGCTCTCTCATTGGCTGGGGAAACCTCCGCCCAGAAGCAGTCCGAGCTCACAAAAACATCAAAATACAGTTAAAGGGCAGGAGCTCTGCAAACAGAGTCACCACCACACATGAGTAGAAGCCAATAGGTGATGATTAAGCAGGATTTCATTTGTATATGTCTATATTTTGTTTTGTTTGAAAATCCTCCAGATCCTACCTTTAAACACCACTGTGACGTGTTCTGGCGTCTGATAAGACTATAAACTCATTAATCTGTTACTCAGACTAGACTTCAAACCTCAAACACAAACTGAATCTCCAGTTTGCCAAACGAGTATCTAACCTCTTGTGATGGCTCACCAGCAGATGGAGCACACAGAAAAATCTGTGCACCAAAAGAAAAACATTTTTGTGCGCAGATGTCTTAAACAAATAGACTTGTTTTTGCTCTGATCTCAGCCTGTGGACCTTTTTCTAGCCCAGTTACACTGGTGTGCAGGTGTCTCTGCTGTCCTTTCTTGTTCGTCTCTTGTACTGATGCACCAAGACACACTTTTTTGTTGCCCCAAGTAGGTGAGGCATTACAGCAGACCATAAAATGGTAATAACAATCAATAGGGATGCACGATAATATCGGCATGTCATCGGTATATATAATGAACTATTAGAATCAAGCAACATGCATCTTCTTATTCGCACAATGACTGAATATTACAGACACTGAACAGTATTCATGTCTCCATCTGGGCTGTCACCATGACAGCATGTATGTATAATATGATGTTATTTCACCACAGAGGAGACTTGATGATCACTAAAATTAGGTGGGGAAAATGTGGATCTATCAATGTCAGTGTCATTTATCAGTGTCAGTTTTATGGCGGCTGATCTCGACCTCTGCTCAGAGGGTTAGGAGCTCTCAGACTTTGCTGTTCTCCCAATTTGCGGACATTTTCGGCCGCTGTTCTTCTTTTCTGAGTTAGCTGCTAACTGCTACTTTTTAAATCTCCCTCAGTGGGTTGCACGCTTAAAGGCCCATTTATGCTCAACGATAAACACGGATCCGGATACAGACGGAGCCTTCTGTCCGCGCTCCGCATTCGTATTTCTGCACGTTTCCATAAAGCTTACGGATACGGGCCAAATGGAGCAGTACCACCGGAGACCGTGGGGGCAGTGTTGCTGTCACTACCCGATACATAGCTCTAGTGAGACATGAAGAAGAAATAACAATGGCGGAACATTTTGAGGAAAGGCTGTGCGAGTTAGTTAGAAACTATAAACATCTCTATGATGTTACTTCTCCTGGCAGCGCAAGGTGACAGCTAGTCACTCTGCCTCACTCACAGGTGCGCTGTGCGACTTGTCATGCCGGATGTGGGGGGCCACCCGGCGAAGCAAGTTATCGCTCCGGCGGACATCCTAAAGTACTGGAAATGACGCTCGTCGTCAATTTCTCTTATCGGCAGTACTAGAGAAAAGAATTCTCCGTCCTCCAGTCGCGATGTATTTAACGGCCTCACCGACCACCGCCTCCTACAACGCTGCCTGTTTTTGTCTTTTATGCAAGAGGTACATTATCAATATCTCCTCCACAGTCGCCATGTTTGTTTTTGAGTTTGCTGTTGTCATAAACTTTTGACGCTGGGCTGCCTCCTGGTGGATATATTGGTTAACATCCATGCCAACGTAAAGGGCGCATGGAAGTATGTGGGCAGTGACGGTAACATCGTTTGAAACGGACGTATACATTTTCGTACGTAAAGGGAGCATAAATGAGCCTTAACACGTCGTCAAAATGTCACACCTATCTCTGGCACTGTTACTTCCTCTGCTGCTGCATCAAAGGCAAGACAACTGTGTCCTCCCATTCCCCCACTGCAACTTTTATACAAACCTGCGAGGCAGTGTAACAGTGTGAAGTTGCTGCAGTGTAACAGGGACTAAAATGGGTTTTGGGTGAATGGACCCTTTACAGTAAGACACTTCGTCCTCTCACCCTTGAACAGATCTCACTGTCGGCCTGATTCTGCACTTCATTTTCACCTCATGTTGCTTTCAGGAGAATGAGGTCATGCATGATCCTTTTAACACACACACACACACACACACACACTGACCTCAATGACAGTCCACTGCTCCACGACGATGGTGTCATTGGCAGGAGGAGAGGTGCTTCTCTCCTCATACACAAACAGTCCCTCCAGTGATCGTGGCACCGGCTCGCCTGAAACACACACACAGACGTCACTCTGAAAGGTGAACTAATGTTTATCAAGTCATATTTTTATCATTAAACATTATATTCTACATAAATAACACTGTCAGGGAGCCAATTAAGAACACACAGGGAATCCTTTTAGTGCTCAAAGACCGCCGAGGGAACGTGACAATGAGAGAAAGTCACTGAGCTGACCCACTTATTAGAAATAGGTTGAGCTCAGTGTGTGTGTGTGTGTGTGTGTATGTGTGTGTGGAGGCTTCTGGTTGAGCCTGAATGTGTGTGTCAGTGTGTGTATTATATTTATTCCAGGCCTCAGAGGTCTACAGATGATGTGGATGTCTGCCACTCCGCAGAGAAACAGGAAGTGAGGTCTGCTGAGGTCGGGAAGACGGCTCCAAATATAGAGGCAGCGGGAGAGAGCAGGGAGGAAGTGACTGAGTCTGAGAGCATGTATGAATCACTGGTCTATGAGAGGAGATAATCATGGAACAGGACAAACACCAGGAGCTCTAAACAACTTAAATCTGAGTCTTTTTCTTCTTCACTGTCTTTTTTTAAAAAAAATATTAAGATGCAAAGAAATACACACTGTCATATGTGTTCCCTTTGTATGCATGGAGAATCACATCATCGTCAAATGAGTGTAACCAACCTGCACGTCCACAGGTTGCTACGCAGGTGTACTCAAGTACTGTAACTGACTTCTTCCATGTTTGGCAACTTTATACTTATACTGTTTCTCAAAGTAGGACGAGTACTTCCAAGGAAGGATCCTCCAGAGACAAGGCAAGAGTCCTTCCTATCATTCAGTGAACACACATGGGAACAGGCTAACGAGTGGCCCCAGGTGTGCGTCATTAACCCTCAGCAAAATGAGGAGGTTTCAGGTACTGTGATCATTTTGGCACTGTATCACCACACAGAAGGAAGCGTGCATCTACTCATGGACAAGAGGCTCGAGCCCTTGACAGCGTGAGATGTAAATTTTAATGGCGTCCTCCTCGGCTGAGCTGTAACGATAAATAACTCAGTGGTGCGAGGTGAGCTAATGGTAGATGCAGCTTCCTTTGTCCTCATATATATTTTTGATTTTTGGGTGAACTGTCCCTTTAAGAGTCCACCCAACACCAAACCAACCTTTAGGCGTGTCCCAGTAGACGAACGAGTCCACCAATGACCAGCCTTTCCGGTAGTAGGCGGCAGTCAGCTCCAGCCAATCAGCTTCCAGGGAGCTGACCGCCTGACCCTTCCTGGACACGCGCATGGAGAGCGCCCCCTGGTGGTACTGACAGGCCAGTGAGTCCAGAGGAGCACAGCCAGGAGCCCAGGAGTGGAAGAAGACGAGCAGCCTCAAGTCTGGACGGACGAGGAGACAAAACTTTAGTATTTAAAATACACGTTAGAATTTGAAGACATGAAGTTTAGCTTTTAACGTACTGCTTATGAGGATGTGAAAGAAAGGTTTTAATTTATCAGGATAAAGTGAAGTGTGTGAGCAGGTCCACTGAGGCCAAAAAAAATTTCAGAGAGAGATAATAAAGGAACGAGTGTCTCACCTGGACTGTAGGTGTTCTCCTCCAGCTCTCTGTCTCCGGGTGGAGTATGAGGAGGGGTGCGTGGAGGGGAGCGGCAGCCCCTCTTCGGACTGTGCACCCTGCCGTTGGTGATCCCACTCACCTGCTGGAGGACCGAGCCCACGAATCGAACGCCGCCCCGGGCGCTGCTGTTCACCTGCCAGAGAGACGAACCAACAACCAGACACACGGTGACGTCACGATAAAACACACCTGTTTTACTTCCTCAGCACCACAGATGAGGTGGTGTTGAGAAAGTCAAAGGTACCAGATCATTTTGGATTTGTAAATCTTATAAACAAACAGAACTTTCAATGAGAACACATGCAATGAAACTACAGTTCCAAGTGAACAAACAGCATCGTCGTTCTGGTTTGACAATGTAAATATATCCTATATTTTATTTATTTTAGTAGAAGAGCAAATATGCAGTATTTAAATTGTTTTAGAGATTTGTAGTGACCGGAAAAGTAAAAATATGCTATATTCCACTTATTTGAAGGATTTGGAGCCCTGAAAATGTTCCAGTGTCCAATATTTTACTTATTTTCGGTGAAAATATGTAATAGTTTTCTTTTGCAAGGACTTTAGTGCCAAACAAAGGTGAAATTATTCAGTATTTCATTTTTTTAGCATCTTAAGAGTCCTGAAAAGATGAATGTTTTCAGTATTTAACTTATTATTGATGCTTTAAATGTGAAAATATCCGCTATATTTCAGTTTTTGGAGAATTTTAAAGGCTTGATGAGGTTAAAGTTTCCAGTATTTCAATTATGTTAGTTATTTTTAGTGGCCTGAATTTTTTATATATCTGACAAGGTGAAAATAGTCAACATTTTGACTTTTGTAAAGATTTTAGTCCTACAAAAGTGAAACTATTCAGTATTTCACTTTTTTAATCATCTGAGAATCCTGAAAATACAAACATATTCAGCAATTGACGTATTTTAGAGACTTTAAATGCCTAAAACTATGAAAATATCCAATATTTCACAGGCTTGAACAGGTGAAAGTATCCAGAATTTATTTTATCTTGGTTAATTTTAGTGGGCTAAAAGATGACAATATGGTACATTCCACTTATTTTAAGTATTTTGGAGCACTAAAAATATTTAAGGGTCGAATATTTTACTTTTTTAAGGATTTTTAAACACCTGAAAAGGTGAAAATATCTAGATATCTCGTATCTAGTATGGAAAAGATGGGTGTCTTCAGTATTTGATGTATTTTAAATGCCTTAACATATTTCAGGTGCCAGAGGAGATAATGTATCCAGTATCGCAGTTATTTTAGGGATTATTAGTGGGCTCAAAAGGTGAAAATATCCTGCATTTCACTGCTTTAATGATTTTAGGGTCATGAAAATATCTAAATTGCAGCTTTAAGGCCTGAAAAGGGGAAATAATCCAGTTGAGGGCTGAAAGTTACAGAATTTATTCTTTATTGCTTAAATCAATCACCTGGTGACCCCTCTGATTTATCTTGGGACCTCTCAGAGGGGTGCAGACCCTCAGGTTGGGAACCACTGCACTCGATAAGCATTTAAAATGCAGCTCTGTCATGTGTTCATTTATATCTGTGGGTCTATAAGTTACAGTAAATCCCACTGACCCTGTCGATGAGCGCTCTGACCGTGTCGCCCGTCAGTGACTCTCCAGGTAATGGCCACTCCTCCACCTTCAACATGGGCACGCTGTAACACATGGACGCCATCTGCTTACTGAAAACACACACAGACACACAGACACAGACACACACACACGGTCAGTGAGAGGAGTTCAGCAGTGACAGTGTGTGACGTTGGAGCAGTGGAGGTCAGTGGGGAGCTTCTGGATTTCGTGTCCAGCTGGAGGGTTCATAGTTCAGCTGTAATTGTCACAGAGCTGCAGACGCCAACACATCCATCATTTATAGGCTCAGCAGGAGGCGGCTACCACCTACTGTCTGAGCAATTAACTCAAAGGGTAAACAACAATTTAGGCAAGTGAAGTGACGACAGGTCAGACACGACATGCTGCAGCTTCAACATGAAAGTGTAGAGCGTAAAATAGTAGTCACACAGAGACAGTGGAAGAAGTGCTTTGCGTATTTGCGTTTTTTTTAGCACTGTGTCGGTGACTTTTGTCGCTCTTCTTGGATGCCTGCTGCTCACAGTCTGACACTACTAGAGATGCATGATATGAGATTTGTTGCTGATATCTGATATGCTGATTGTTATGGCTGTATGCGATCTGTGCTGCTGTCCCTTTTCCCTCCACTGCAGATCTGCCCAGGTGTGCTGCATTACTTAACGTGGTGCAGTGCACCTGGCATGGAGGAGGTGCTTAAGAGCTCCTGTGCCAGCAGCAGAGGAGAGAGGCCTCTGGTGTGTGGACTGCTGGTCCTGCTGCCTCTCAGCCTGGGAGTTGTCTTGTTTCATTTGTTAACAAATCCCACAAATTTGTTTATTTTAAGGTGTCTTAAGTGGATATTTTGGGTCAGTGGCGGAGTTTTGTTCGTCACATAGGGACGCCAAAGGGTGGGGTGTAACACTGATATGTAACAACTCATTTAACTGATAACCGATATCGATATATGTGTTTTTTTCTCCACCTAATCTTTGTGGAATTAACATCATATTATGCCTGCATACTCTTATGGTGACGGCCCACCAGCAGACAGAGACATGAACTACTTTTCAATGTGTGTTGTACTCATTCATTGAGCAAAACAAGTAAAAGCCTGTTGGCTGATTCCAATGACGTGGGATATTATCATGCATCCCTAGTTGCTACCTTTATATAAAGCCTGACTTCACCTGAACGCTGAGCCCTGAAAAGTCCTGAACACAGCAAAATAATAATAAAATAAGGATTAACGGGCAGAGAGTCTCAGATAAATACTTTACACCACTGAACAGAGTATTTCTCATTTGTTCATGTTTGCATAAGAACACCATCATTAACATGATTAATTCACCTCTACTGCCATCTTATGAAATAAAAATTATAATCACAGTAACAGTATCACAACCAATCAAACATCAGAGATGCTTCCCCTCCATTGGCTGCTGTGGGGCCTCTGTTGTTGGGTGGATTTCTAGCCAATGGAAATCCTGTCAAACCAAAACATCCTGCTGTCTCCTCCAGGCACGCCAGTCTGACCTGCTGCTGAAGCTCTGCATTAAATATGCAGCTGACTTCATTCATCATTCATCTATTTACTAGACAGTATGGAGGTGAACATGTGTGCACAGCGGGACGGCACGTGTGCTGCAGACTGTATACAGTCATCTTTGCTGACCTGTAAAAAGCATTTGACACCGTCGATCATTAATTAAACTGCAGCCGTTAAGTCAAGATGATCCAAGCTTAGGTTACAGGGAGAACTCAAGTCCACTTACCATCAATAATGGGGTTCCACAGGGGTGTATTCAGGGCCCATTATTATTCACATTATACATAAATAACATAATTCTTCCTCATTAATATTTCAATATTATTTTCTATGCAGATGATACAGTTTTATATGTCCCCACTTTGACCCAGGCTCATCTTCAGTCTGCCTTTTATGCTAGTATAAACATTTCGCTTTTATTTAAAGGACTTTACAGCCCTAAAGAGACGAAAGTATCCAGCATTTCACTTTAAGAATTTTCAGAGGCTTCAAGAGGTGAAAGTATCACATTTTTAAATTATTCTGAGGATATTTGGTGACCTAAAAATATGAAAATGTGCTATATTCTACTTATTTAAGGATTGTATTTTTGTTGCTTTTCTGTTTTTAATATTTTACTTATTGAAGTCCTTATTTAAAATCCTGTGTGCAATATTATGACATATTTAAGGGATTTTAGAGTCCTGAAAAGGTGAACATTTTTGGTATTTTTTTACTTATATTAAGCACATACAAGTCCTGACAAAAAAGTAAAAAATATTCTTAATTTCACTAAAATATAAAATAAAATAAGGATTTCAAGCTCCCACAAAAGTGAAAATATTCAGTATTTCACCTAATTTAAGCTTCATTTAAGAATTTCAGAGGCCTTAGAGGAAAAAATATTCAATACTTTACCTTTCAGAGTCCTACAATGTTTGCTCTGATGAAGGTCTTACAGACCGAAAGCTTAACAATAAAGTGAAACACTGCAGAGATGTAAGTGTGCGGAAATCTTTTCTACCAGTAAGGTCCCACAGAAGTGAAAAATATTCAGTGTTTCACTTAATTTAAGCTTTACTTAAGAACTTTAGAGGCCTGAAAGGTGAAAATATCCAATATTTTACTTTTCAGAGACCTGTAAAAGTGAATGTATTCAGCATTTTACTTCGTTAGAGATTTTTAGAAGCATTTTAGAGTCCAGACAAGATAAACATATCCAGTATTTAATACATTTTATATATTTCTAAAGCTGTAAAATGTAAAAAAAAAAAGCAATAATTCAGTTTTTTAAAAAGGATTTTAGTCAATCTGCACACCAATTAATACGTCAATGTCCATTTTATACAGATGATACAACTGTATATGTCACGGCTCCACTCCAATCCGGACTCGTGTTCTTCTTTGAGGCTGCTGATTAAATCAAGTTTTAAAGATGTGTATCTAAACTTATAATGATGAAAAAAAAAGAAAATTTCATTTCAAAGGGGCAGGTATTTAAATTAAAGCTTCGTTTCAGGTTTAAAAGAGGGGTTAGGATTCGTGTACCTGGGTCTGGGACGGGCCAGGATGGCTCTGTAGAGCAGACTGAAGGGCAGCGAGCGGGTTCGGCCCACAGACAGGATGATGGGGTGCAGGGCGGCCAGGACGTAGCCTTGTGTGTAGTAGGGCTGCAGGGCCTGGGGCAGCTCAGAGAGGGAAGCCACATACTGAACCGTGGGGCGACTGCCTGCATGGACGGGGACATGAACAGAGGGAAACAAGTCAGTAAAATGCATTTTAGCCTGGTTATAAAGGTTACTGCCACACTGAGTTCAGGCAGATTAGTTGGAAAGAACAGCAGCATTATGCATTAATGTAAAAGCTTCAGTTTGCTTCTGAGTTCACTGCCCTTTTGTAGCAAACTCTTAATGCCCTGCCTGTGTGTTTAGCCCTCTAACCTCCCCATCCTCCAACTCAACAACCCAAACACAAAGATATTCTGTTGGCTGTTACAAAAGAAAAGCTGGAAACGCTCAAATTTAAGAAGCCGAACCCAGTTAATGTACAGCACCCGTACATCAGGAACCATTTACTCCATTCACAATAAAACACAACAACAGTGTTTTCAGACGTGCCCACCACAGAGAGCTCAGTTATCAGCTGTGGAAAATGCTGCAGTGCCGTCAGTAAGAAAGAAAAAGATGTATTTTCAGATTTGTCTGTATTAGTGTAAACATGGGACACTGTCCAGCATCCAGAATCATGCACCACTCTCTGGGAAAGTTTTCTTTTCCTTCCTGTATAATGACTTAAACATCACTTTTCCACTGTTGCTACTGGAGAGAGGAAAGCGCACACACACACACACACACACACACACACACACACACACACGATCTGCTAAATATGAATGCAGATGATAATCAGGACGGAGCGTACCATTTATTTCATAATATCAGTTATATAATGTTTTTTAGTCCAGCATCAGAGACGATATGATTTTTACTAAGTCGCACCATATGGCACCATTTATTGAACATACTGTACTTTCAAATATATCGTTGATAAAAATCCTACAGCGTGTGAAATTTACATGTCTCCATCACCCCCTTTACATCAAGCGTCTTGCAATACGAACATAAAAATGTTGCGGATCTGGAAACTAAAAATGTCTGCTGCAGCCTGGTCTGAGACTTTTAATATCTAGCTGTGTCTGAGGGCTTCAAAGACTGATGACGACCGTAAAAAAAAACCACCACCAACCCCGGCATGTTGAGGGAAACACCACATCACCCACCACACTCTTACATAAAGGTTATATATACACAGATATAAGTGAATACACACACACACACACACACACACACACACACACACAAAGTGTGTGCATATTTTTAGTGGTCCAGCTGTGACGTCTGATGTGGTTTCCAGGCGGTTATGAAAGGTGTGGCTCTGAGACTGACACACACATAAACACATGGAAGGAAAAAGAGTTTAATCTTCATGCTGCTGTGATATTATTTATGTAATCAATTATTACTGTGAAGGGTTGCAACTAATGATTCTTTTCATTATCCGTTAGTCTCCTAATTATTGTTTAGTCTATAAAATGTCTAGACGTCTTAATTACCACCAACATCTCTGATTAGCTCAGGAATCCAGAATGAAGTGACACTAAATTTAGTCTTAGTTATCAGGCAATAAAATGTGGGAGAACAAATTCCCCAGAAGATGATTCTTCTGGAGTTATTTTTTGATGTATTGTTGATATTTTATTGTTTTAGTTTTGTACTTTCTTTGAGATGCATCTTCTTGAATTGTTAATTGTTTTGGGATATACACACATATACACAGTTAGAGATGAAAACCACACCCATAAACACTCACCGGCTACTTTATAAGGTACACGCAAAAACCTAATCAGCCAATCACATTGCTGAAGTTCAAACCGAGCATCGTGGCATGGTTGTTGGTGCCAGACGGGCTGGTCTGAGTATTTACTGGGATTTTCAGCACAACCATCTCTAGGGTTTACAGAGGATGGTCCCAAAAAGAGCAAATATCCAGTGAGCCAAAATGCCTTGTTGATGCCAGAGGTCAGAGGAGAATGGCCAGACTGGTTCAAGATGATAGAAAGGCAACAGGAAGTCAAATAAGCACTGGTTCCAACCAAGGTGTGCAGAAGAGCATCTCTGAAGCAACAACACCTTGTCCAACCTTGAAGCAGATGGGCTACAGCAGCAGAAGACCACACCAGGTGCCACTCCTGTCAGCTAACAACAGGAAACTGAGGCTACAATTCACCAAAACTGGACAATAGAAGATTGGAAAAACCACATTCAGATGGAAGCATGGATCCATCCTGCCTTGTATCAACGCTTCAGGCTGCTGCTGGTGGTGTAATGGTGTGGGGGAGATTTTCTTAGTACCAACTGAGCATGGTTTAAACACCACAGCCTACCTGAGTATTGTTGCTGAGCGTGTCCATCCCTTTATGACCACAGTGTACCCATCTTCTGATGGCTACTTCCAGCAGGATAACGCACCATGTCACAAAGCTCACATCATCTCAAACATGACAATGAGTTCACTGTACTCCAATGGCCTCCACAGTCACCAGATCTCAGTCCAATAGAGCACCTTTGGATCAACTGTGTGATGTCATCATGTCAATATGGACCAACATCTCATCATTTCTATGTGTATCTTATCTAAATGTGAAGTACTCTGTAACCTTTAAAATGTGTGACCAAAATGAAATTATGATCATATTATACACTCTCCTAATTCTTTTGTTTTTTGGATTTGTCATGGAGTCCACTCATCTCTGATTTCTGTTCACATTATTCTTTTCCTCAGCACTTAGAGGTGCGGCGAGCTCACAGTCAGTGAGGAGCTGCTGCTGCTTCAGTCGGTGTTGTTTTTCTTGAAAATCCTGGCTGGAAATCCCTGTGACCATCACCATACTTCCTGTGTCCACAAAGAGTGGCTGTTCACAGAGGGGCTTGGCTATGTGCCCCACTCACACACACACACACACACACACACACACACACACACACACACACACAGTCCATTTAACGCATTTCAAGTTGTGTGTGAGTGTGTGTGTGCATTCCTCACTACAACCCCCCACATTCTCACGAACAAACACCCCAGAGATCGGGGAGACCAGCTGAGATCGCTGCAGCCTCTCAATGGTTTGTCTGCCTGCCTCCATTATGAGACTAAAGACCACCAGAACCTCAATGAAACCTCCGCGGCAAACAGTTTACAGGCATTCCTGTGGGTTTGAACCCCACTCCACACTGTTTCAGTTTTACACGGGCATGGACATGTTGCAGCCGTGAAGCTGATGATTCACGGTGGACAACTTTTAAGACAACTTTCTTCCTTTAGTGGACAAAACATTTCCAGCTGAGTCAAACGTGGATCAGCAGCAGAATGTGGAGGATCACAAACAGGCGACCATGCTGCAGATAATGGCTCCCAGGAGGACCATGATGTCATGCAAACACACCTCCAACCAAGGCTTTTGTTGCGGGCTTTTTGCTCGTCTCCTCCCCTGCTTTCAGTCCTCACACCCCCCTCCCATCCTGCTGCCACTCGCCCCTTCAACCCGCACACTGAGGCCTCTGTTTAGGGCTATGTGGGAGAAAAGAGGAGGAGGAGGAGGAGGAAGAAGGGCAAAGAGGGTAAAAAAGGGGGGAAAAGAAGCAGAGGTGGGAACTGGCAGGATGGAGGGAGGGGGAGTCAGGGGCTCAGGAGGAGTTGAGCAACAACTGAGGGCACAGAGAGGGGTGACGGAGCCGAGGGAGGAAGGAGCCAGACGGGGTTTACAAGATGGATTTTATGAGCCTGGATGTGAATGGAAGTGAAGGTGTGAAAAGGAGAAAGTTGCCTGGCAACACAAAGGAAACTAGAGGGAATAAAACAAGCAGCTCTATGAGGCTGCAGTGCTTTGAGCTAAATGCTAACGCTAACAACACGCACACAACGACAAGTTTAGCAAGTATGATGCCACATTTATGTCATATGGTTTAACTGTAGTTACAAATAGAAATAACCTCTTCATCAGCCTCCGAGTCGTATGATTCCCGGTCTTGCTGTCACATTTACATCTAAAAAATGTTAACTATGGTCCGGCCTGAGTCTTAAAATCCCCTTTCAATGAAGTCTTGCACTTGTCTTGGTCTCGTGCCTTGTTCAACTCGAAACTGTCCCTGCTATTGAAAACTGCTCACGATGCTGATTCGGGATCAGCTGTACAGAACATTGCCGGATTCTACCGACATGATCCATGAATGATCTCTCACACTGCACCCATTTTGCTAGAAACGTTGGCTCTGGGCAGCATTTGTTGCCTCAGTCCTCCAACGGTAACTTCACTTACAGCAAACTTTTAGAAGACAGATCAAGTTCATAGTTTTTAATGAAACTGAAGCTTTTTGCTCAGGGTTTTTGGGTTGTTAAGTGCCTTGCATTTCTGCGCTCTGGGTGGCTGGTGTTTTTGCCGGAGCGTTCTGAACTCCTCAAGTTGAAAAAACTTCTATTCAAGAGTAGAAAAGCGACTCACGTCATCTCTGTTTTTTTTTGTCCAGTCAGATGATTTCAGAGGCGCGTCTTCTGTGGTGGTCACGACAACACGTTTACAGTTGGTAAACAGTGAAGAAGAAACCATCGTTGCTCAGTCGCTCGGCAGGACCAATGGACTCCCCGTAGTTAGCATTAATTTTTGTTATGCTAGGCCTGACGATAGACAGCAGGTTGTCAAACTGCCCCTGAGTCATCACACTGTAAACGTCCATGATGGAGGAGAAGCTCCTGGACCAACTGGTGGTACTTCCCATGATCCAGCCTCTTTTTTAGGGTCTCATGTACCCACACAGATCTCTGTTTATCTGCTGACAGCCTCTCACCCTCAACCAGAGCTACAGACAGCACCCTCTGCCTCAACATGGCAGCAGCTACACACTGATTACTGCAGGATAAGTAGAATAATAAACGGTAGATTGATTACACAAGACGTTTAGGGTAAGGAGGTGATGGGGCGGTTGCCTGGCAACAATAAAAAGATTCAGCAAGTGTTTTTTTTTACTAGTAGCATTCAATTTAAACAAAAAAAGGCAGTGTGATGCGCCTCGTGTGTTGCAACCTGCAAAATACTTTCTGTGTTATTGGGGCCTAAGTCACTATAGGCTATTAGCATTGTATTATGGTCTTCAACAGGACTCAATTTGCTCTGGA